TAAAGTACCATATCTTTACTTCATTCATGAACTTCATTAATATCCCACATAGCATCATTCTAGAATAATGCTAGCAAGATAGCATGGGTTTTGCTACGGATTGAATGTTTGTGTCCCCTAAAATTCTTATGTTGAAACCTAACCTCTAATGTGATAGTATTTGGAGGCGGGGCGTTTTGGAGATGATTAGCTCATGAAGATGGAGCCCTTATGGATGCCATCAGTGCCTTTATAAAAGAGACTCCAGGGAGCTCCCTCACCCCTTCTGCCATATGAGGTAATAGCAAGAAGATGTCAGTTTATGAACCAGGAACTGGGCTCTCACGAGACACAGAATCTGCCAGCACCTTAATCTTGGACCTCCCAGCCTCCCAAACTGTGAGAAGCAGACTTCTGTTGTTTATAATTGCTATATTTTGTTATAGCAGCCTAAACAGCCTGAGACAGGGTTTACAAATATGTGTTGAATGCATTACTTCAATTCCCTCCTGACTTTGATTTTTTTTTTATTTTTCATAGGCTGGAAAAGTTCAGAGTAATAACAAAAGTACTAAAAAGAAACCATGTCTTTAATACAGAAATGAGCAGTGTTTGTAATAGTACTATGATGTGGTATAAAGTGTTGGATTTTTGTAAGTGATTTTCTTGTACTTTTTATCTTCTGCAAATTATTGAAACAATCTTTAATGCCCAAGAAGCTCTTATGCCTGGAGACAAGCATTGACTGATATTTGTATTTTAGGGCTCTATTTAATAAACACATATTTAAATAAATACCACTTTGAAAAATCAATTTTCTTAAATAAGTAAATGTTTATTACAAATTTTAAATAAAGTCCCTGAAACAATTTAAACAAAATTAAAAACTTACGAAAATGTTCTTTAGAACTCTCAAATGCCATACATAGTAGACAAGTATACAAAAATGCCCTATCGTCAACTATTATTACATACTTTACACTTAAATTTATCCTAACGTAAACAACGTGACTCCAGTTCGTAACTTCATTATTTCTCACCTTCATTATTTTTATTCCTTCCAGGTTACTGTAATACTTAGTTTGATGCCTTCTCAGGAAAGAGTAATCTACCAAATTTTAAAAGAAAAAGGATATTTTGCAAACCAGCAAGGATATAGGATGTGGTTATCGACCAATTGATTCTCATTTGGGGCACAGGATCTGCCTGTCTCTCCCAAATGATTAAAACCCTAGCCACCAGGGTCATAGGGTTAAGTTTCCTTTTCATAGTTAAACTTTGTTACACCAGTATGCCCCCATAACATCATTTATAAAGGGAGCAATCTCAGGGACGCCAGTGTAGCTCAGTCGGTTAAGCGTCTGCCTTCGGTTCAGGTCATGATCTTGGGGCCCTGGGATAGAGCCCCGCATCGGGCTCCCTGCTCCACGGGAAGCCTGCTTCTCCCTCTCTCTCTGCCCCTCCCCCTGCTCGTGCTCTCTCTCGCTGTCTCTGTCAAATAAATAAATAAAATCTTTAAAAAATACAATAAAATAAAAAATAAAAGGGAGCAATCTCTAGGACATGTTAAAGTGAGAAAAGCAAGAAGCAGAAGGCTACACGTAGTCTGCCACTTGAATGCAAGAAGTTGAAGGGGAGGAGAACACAGTGTATTTGCTCATATTTTTCAAAAAGAAACAATGTAAAAACTAAATAGATAAACTAAAAACTACTAAAATTGGACCCTTAGAAAAAGGAATGGAATAGGGAGGAGAAAAAGGTATGAATAGAGGCAATACTTCTCGGAACACTCATTTTATTGTTTTGATTTTGCTGCCATGTACTATTATACATAATTGGAAAAGCATAATTATATCAAAGAGAAAAAAAAGATGACCATCAGCACAAAGAAAGAATTATTTTCAGTAACAAAAAAAAAGTATTATTTTTACTGAAAATATATGGTAGGATATATACATCTTAAGGTAAAAAAAACTGTATATATTTTTTTGAATTGCATACTTTTCTTAAACTGCATTCAGTGGTTTTTTTGTTTTTTATTTTAAAGATTTTATTTATTTATTTTGAGAGAGAGAGAACACAAGTTGGGGGGGTGAGTAGGGGGAGAGGGAGAGGGAGAAGCAGACTCCCCACTGAGCAGGGAGGCCTATTCGGGATTCAATCCCAGGACCCTGGGATCATGACCTGAGCCGAAGGCAGACACTTAACCGACTGAGCCACCCAGGTGCCCCTGTATTCAGTGGTCTTATTGTTAGTGGTCTTGTAGTATTGTTATTCCAAAACCATTATGCATGTATTGTAAGATGAAACCAATAAGCAGTAACATTACTGTCTATAGGAATCGAGATTCATAAAAAGTGGGTCAACCAGACTACTGAATGCCCCCCATGTGCTGCACTAGGAAGAACATAACACCTCCTATGCAGTTATTCTTGTCACCAAGAGAAAAAAAGGGGGAAAAGAACCTGAATATCAAGTCTGTAGATCTAACTACAAACTTGCAGAAAATACAAGAAACAAAGTAAATGAAATGATGCCAGAGGAAACAATGAGAATGTGGGACATTTTACAAATGATGTTTTCCTCAATAAAGAAGTGGCATGGGAAATAAAGTAGATTAATTACAAGAGGCATTCAATCTGACACCCAAGGGCAGTGTGGACCCTGCGCCTGCATGGATTCCAACTTGACAGAGCCGTGTGTAAAAAAGACATTTTTTTTAAAAGATTTTATTTAGGGGCACCTGGGTGGCTCAGTTGGTTGAGCGACTGCCTTCGGCTCGGGTCGTGATCCTGGAGTCCCGGGATCGAGTCCCGCATCGGGCTCCCTGCTCAGCAGGGAGCCTGCTTCTCCCTCTGACCCTCCTCCCTCTCATGCTCTCTGTCTCTCATTCTCTCTCTCTAAAAAAAAAAGATTTTATTTATTTATTTGACAGAGAGAGACACAGCGAGAGAGGGAACACAAGCAGGGGGAGTGGGAGAGGGAGAAGCAGGCTTCCCGCAGAGCAGGGAGCCCGATGCGGGGCTTGGTCCCAGGACCCTGGGATCATGACCTGAGCCGAAGGCAGAGGCTTAACGACTGAGCCACACAGGTGCCCCTAAAAAAGGCATTTTTGAAACAGTTTGGGAAACACAAATATGGGCTGAATATGGAATATATATATGTATATTCAGATTCATAAAAAGTGGGTCGACCAGACTACTGAAATCAGCACCACGTGATGTTCAGAAATTATTGCTAATTTCATTACATAGAAAATGGCACTGTGCTGTGTTCTCTTGACATGTCATTTTTTGTTAGAGATGCACATTGATGTATTTACCAGTAAAATAACGTAATTCCTGGGATTTGCTTTCTAATACTTCAGCAAAAAAAAAGGGGGGGGGGCAAGAGGAGAATAATTAACAAGATAAGCAAAATGTTGATTATTGTTTAAGCTGGATTTTTTAAATGTTATAGATGCCTTTTCTTCTTATAATTAGTACCCATCTGGAGATTTCATTTCCTAAGCAATGAAAATTAAGTCTGTGAAGTTAGTTTCCTCCTGACAATGGTGGATTCTTTCATCCTGGAACACACAGTTAAAATGTCTATTTGCTATTATGAGAGCAGTTCCTACTTTTCTGTAACTATGTGGCTTACTCACAGTTTCCTTCTCTGTTTGCACAAACAGAAACAAATACATAGTTATAAATAGGCATATACAGGCAGTCCTTGCAGGACAGTGTCCTAACAGATCAAAAAAATGACTGCACGCTGAGGCCATACAAAGCAATCTTAATAATGGGAACAATTACAATTGTTTGTGATCTTTAAAATGTTTTGTCAAAACATTAAAAATTCTCTTACCAGCAATTATAGCTGTATAAGAAAGAAAAATGGGAAAGTATGGGAAAGAAAATGAAAAAAAAAAAAAAAAAAAGCAAAGCTGATATTTAGTATACTGTAATTGAAAATATTGGAAACTTTAAGGATTAAAGTGTTTTATTCTTTGTAAAAAAAAATTTTTTTTCATTTTCCTCTGAGAGTGAAGGAGAAATAAATTAATATATATTCAACTTTGGCTGAGCCCTAACTCAGCAATCCTAGGCACCTAGAGATTTACCTTTTGTTTTGTTTTTTAAGATTTTATTTTATTTATTTGACAGAGAGAGACAGCGAGATCAGGAACACAAGCAGGGGGAGTGGGAGAGGGAGAAGCAGGCTTCCCGCTGAGCAGGGAGCCTGATGTGGGGCTCGATCCCAGGACCCTGGGATCATGACCTGAGCCGAAGGCAGATGCTTAACGACTGAGCCACCCAGGCGCCCTGAGATTTACCTTTTATGAAGTCACGTCTAGTTTCTATTTTTCCTACCTTATAATATGAAGCAGGCATCTTTTCTATGCCTTGGTGAGTTGTCATACTCCTTTCTAAGTCTGGATGAGCTTCCCACAGTTTTTCCTTTGCACTTTGAACATTATGAAATATCTCTGAGAATTCCTTTTCTAATAAAACTTTAGGTTTGAAGTAGCTATGGTGTCTCAGAATCCCCTGCAACTCTTTAAAAGATTCTCTATAGGCTTCTAGTTACACATTGGACACAATCTGATTGTATTTTATAAAATCACTTTCAAGATATTGACAATGAGGTTTATCCCTCTATCCCAGGTTTTTAAATAATTTTAGTATCTTATAGCAATGATATTTAAGCTTTTTTCAGATGACATTATACTCAAAGTGGAATTATTCTAGAGTGTAAGGTGGGGATGAGAGACCTAGAATCCTATCCCCTGGGTCTCCCCCTCAGTTCCTGAGGTGGCCCCCCCAAACATCTCCAAGAACACAGTTTGCAGATATATGCATTTGACAGAAGTTGATGAAGTTCGTGGCTGATAAAGTGAAGTCATTAAGACAGCCACACACCATGATGCAGATCAACTAGGATTCGACCTGTGGGTTTTTCCCCGGGTACGGGTACTCTGAATCATCCCAGTCTTGGCAGAAATATCCGATCCCTCTATTTCTGTCTCTCTGTTGCAGACCATTGGTCAGGATCCCATGTTACCCTCCCCCCAGCCTTCCAGATGATGCTTCAGATTGATCCTGGCTCTCAGCATCCACCTTGACCCAGGCTTTGATTCTACTTATCAGTGCCCGACTTCACCAGCAATTCCCAAGCCCTGCCTACACTTACCAAGACATCAGCCTGGGATCTAGAGGTATCATGCTCAGTTCCACCCACACGTAATTTGCATTGGTATTTCTCTCCCCACATGCCTTTTGCTATTTTAGCTTCTCTCAGATATAAAGTCTTTGTTCTAAAAGTCCTCACGTCCTGAATTACTTCCTTGCCCTCTTTACAGGATCAAAACCAGCTGTTGGAGCTGGTCATTCCTTTCACTAACAATCGGGTCTGGCTTTTAAGTTAGAGCTCATTAATGTCTGGCCTTATCTTTATTTTTTGAAGCATAATCCCAGGGCAGATGGCAAAGAGAATGGAGAAGGGGTAGAAGACAGAAGGAAGAGGTTAGAACGGAAAGAAAATATCCTCCTTTGAAGCTTTCCATAATGCTGTCTTTATCATTATAAAGATGCAAAAGAGGAGGAGGAGGAAAAAGAGGAAAGGGGGAAATAGAAAGATTTTATCAGAAGAGGAAGAATAAAGGCCTGGTAAATGCTTCTTGGAAATTTGGGGAGGTTACTATGAATGTGGGCTCTGTGGGCGTGTGTGTGTGTGTGTGAGAGAGAGAGAGAGAGAGAGAGAGAGAGAGAGAGAAGTTCCTTCACTTTTCTGAGTGCCCCAATTCCGAAACAGTTTGACCTCATACATCTTATAAAATCCATTTGAGAACTTCCATCAAAACTTGAGATGTATATTTTTAAATGTTTTGTTACTAATACTGACCAGCTGATCATCCAGTCCAAAAAGTTGTTCCATGTACGTTTCAGAGAGTCTCCGAATTTTTGGCCTCATTGATGGATCAATGCACATATCCCTTTAATAAAATCGTCAAACAGAGGCAAACATTTCATTTCATAGTTGTTAGTTCCATAATTAAATCAGCAATTTAAATCAGTGATTCCTTGGATGGAGGGGAAGGGAGGTGAAGGAAGAGACACTTTTGGGAGAGGCATGTCAAAATCACCTGCAGGGCTTTGTCAGACGACCCCCTCCTCAAGATTTTCTTGTGCTCCCCAATGGGCATGCCTCCCTTTCCTCATCCCCAACTTGAAATATCTGCCCTGTGAGCATGTGATTGATGAGAGAGGGCTGTATTTCTCAAGTTAAGAACCAGTGGGGAAATTGTTCCTAGTGAAGTCTTTGGGACTTAAAAGCCTATGAAGGGATTCTTTAACCATCTTGAAACCGGAAGCATTCATTGGCAAGACCTCTTTACCTACTGTACAGTGAGTGTTTTACCTTCAAAATAAAACATCTCCCTACCCTAAAGCAAAGCAATGCTCACCAGAGAAGACTTTCAAGGCCATTTTCCATTATAGTAATGATCATTTTCTGTAAATATCTCAGCGGATCCTCAGGACATGTAATAAGTAGACCACATAACAGAGCCTAGGGAAAATGAAACAAATCACCCTTCCTGGATTTGCACGTTCTTCCTAAACAGCAGATAGACTTTGCTCATACAATTACAAAGTCAAATAACATGACAGATTTTTAAGTCAATATGCCTTATAGATACCATCTCTTTTTATCCAGTGTTAATATTTTGTTGAAGTCAAACTGAAATGCAGTTTCCCTTTACTATTTAAAGAAAAATCCATTGTAAATGACACAATAGGGTTGCTGCTCAGTGTTTTCCCTTACGTGAGCAGAGCTTTGTAGTCAAATTGAAAACATAGTTGATACTTTTGATCAATGGTTTCTACCATTTTTAAGGAATGAAGACCTCCTTTTTAAAGTCAAAAGAAATTCCTCAGACCCAACCACAAAAGTGATGGAGAAAATCCACCCTCAAAATCTACTGTGAATCCAAGAAATCTTTTTAAAAATGTATTTGTATTTTATCGCTCACAACATCTAAAGAGCAGATCTTTGAAAAATTATAGCATATGGAGCTCCTGGCTGGCTCCATTGGAAGAGCATGTGACTCTTGATTTTGGGGCCATGAGTTTGAGCCCCATGTTGGGTGTAGAGCTTACTTAAATATATAAAACTTTAAAAAGAAAGAAGGAAAGAAAGAAAGACAGAGAAAGAAGAAAGAAAGAAAGAAGAGAAGAAGAAAGAAGAAAGAAAGAAAGAAAGAAAGAAAGAAAGAAAGAAAGAAAGAAAGAAAGAAAGAAAGAAAGAAAGAAAGAGAAAGGAGGGAGGGAGGAAGGAAGGGAAGGAAGGAAGGAAGAAAGGAAGGGAAGGAAGGAAGGAAGGAAGGAAGGAAGGAAGGAAGAAAGGAAGGGAAGGAAGGAAGGAAGGAAGGAAGGAAGGAAGGAAGAAAGGAAGAAAGGAAGGAAGGAAGAAAAATTGTAGCATAGTTCACAAAGATGAGAAACACATGTCTTACTGGAACTGGATGTGTAAAGCGCATATATGAACTTGAAAAGCGGCTGCCATCTTATTTTCCTCTGAGTTTTCCCCAAAGGAGAAACTTCTCATAAAAGTATTGGTGAGACATACAGAATTATTGAGTATTTCTCCACTTGAGACAGAGAGAAAGGTTTACAGCACACCTCCCACAGAAACCACCTGGACTCCTCCTTAGACATTTCTCTTTGCCTTTTTGGTTTCCTGTCTGCTGGCAAGAGCTAGTGTGCACGGGGGCAGGGCTGGGGCTGGAGCGGGGGAGGCCCTTCTTTTACACAGGACCTGTTCTTGCTGGCTATTGTCCCTGTCACTCTCTTGTGAACAAAATAATTCCACCCCTTGAATCATGCAGAGTTCTTTCTACTTTCGTGGACCAAGCATCAGCAGATCCAGGCCTGGGGGTCCTGGCTCAGACTCTCAGCAGTTCTCATAGTGTTCTTCCAAAAAAAAAAGAGGATAATTTCCCTTGATTGGACCCTGCACAACATCTTTCTCCCTTTGCAATTAGCTCCATGTCCCCTTTGTTTATTGTGTAGCCTGCAGGCTGAGAACCGAGCCCTCCAGACTATGGCAAAGTGGTCAGACCTAACTGTCTCTCCTTCCCCAGCTCTGCCTCCTGACCTGGCCCCACCCCTGATGTTCACCGTGAGCCTTGAGCCATCTGCAGACTGACTTCTTTCTCCCCCAGATCTAGAGACTATAACTGCACAGGAGGTGAATGATTCTTACCACTGTTACAAGATGGATGTAAATAGTATTCTGTCACCTAAGGGCTGAAGTCTTCTATTACCTGGAGGCCTGACTTCCAACACCCTCCTGAATAGCCCTGATGACAGGCCCATCTGCTTTCTGGCACTTTAGTGCCTGAGTCCCCAGAATCTTGAGTTTCTCTACTCCTCACTCCTCTCCACATCCTTCATTCTGTTCTGGCACTCTGAGGACATTTGCCTCAGAATCACCTGGGGGGTGAACAGGTCTCTGAAGATGGGGCCCAGGGAGGTGCATTTTCATGAGCTTCCCAAGTGATTCCTATACACACTAAAGTCTGAGAACTAGGGCCTAAACGGAGGTCAGTGTTAAGGTGATTTTTTAAAAGAAAGTTGGGATCTAATTAATGAATATGAGAAATTAATTATTTCTTTATATTTTGAAACTCCACAGATTAGAAAACTACTTTTCTGAAAAGTTATCCTGCAGAAGTCAATTCAAGTTGAATGGATGTCTCTGGAACGCTAATAAAGGCATACAGAACTAGCAGAGTTCAAATGTTCACTTTCTGCATAAGTGAACTGGGCAAAATAAAATAGGCTGAGATTTATAGATCAGTGTGTGAACATTACATAGCTAAGTGCCAATAAAAAAACATAATTAGTGACTCAATAGCTTTTTTTCTGCATGAAAATGAAAATTACAAAACCATTAGCTTAGTCTTTATAAGCAGAGGCAAAATATGCAAACATTCCCACAAGATGAATGTTTGACTCTCAAAAAACATCAATTAGGGCTTTATCACTGCTAAGTTTCTTAGTAAAAACTTACACAATCAAGGACCAAAAAAACCCCATGACTTAATTATCTAGATTGGCTTTCTCAAGCTTATAGTTTCACAAAGCAATTGTGCAATCCTCCACTTTCTTTCAGCTCTGCCTCTCTAACTCAGTCCCCAATATTTCTCAAATATTCTGAAAGATGTCTGGGGACTGACGACGAACATGGGTTTATCCAGGACAATTGTTTCTTTTTTGTTAAGATTTTTAAAGTTTATTTATTTATTTACTTACTTATTTACTTTAGAGGAGGGGGCAGAGTGAGAGGGAGAGTGAGAGTATTAAGCGGACTCCTCACTGAGCACAGAGCCTGACATGGGGCTCAATCTCACTACCCTGAGATCACCACCTGAGCTGAAACTAAGAGCTGGATGCTTAACCAACTGTGCCACCCAGGGGCCCCCAGGACAATTGTTTCTACTTTCTACTTCTACCCATCTTTCAAGGAGCAGGATAATACAGTGGGTGGAGTCCACTGGGTTTAAATCCTGGATCTGCAATCTTCTAGTGTGGAACCTCAGACAAGTTACTCCTCTGTTCCTGTTTCCTTACCTATATTATACATGGGATCATAAAGGTACATATATCATAGGGCTATCATGAGAATTAAATGAACTAATGTATGCAAAGCACTTTGAACGGTGTCTAGCATAAAATAAGTACTCAATAGATAATATGATAAGAAGCCATTGTTATTTTTAACCATTCCACTGCTAATTATCACCTCTGTTAGAGGGAAAGACTTGAGAAAAGAAATTCAAAACTATTCCCTTGCACCATTCAAAGCCAGTGTGATGACAGAGAGATTGACCTTATACCAAGCCTAATGGAAAAGATTAGAACAAAGGCATTTGGGGGGAAATGATTAGGAGAGAGAACTTGATAGAACAATAGTTTAAATAGTAAGATAGTAACTGTTTATGAAAACTATGGGTAGATATAAAACACTTAAGAGAGCAAGTCTTTTTTTTTTTTAAGATTTTATTTTTAAGTAATTTCTACACCCAACATGGGGCTTGAACTCACAACCCCGAGGTCAAGAGTCCCATGCTCCACCTACTGAGCCAGCCAGGGGACCTGAGAGCAAGTCTTATTTAGTTTTCCAGATATGCAGATGAAGACAGTAAAATATACTAAGGGCCTACATAGCAATGCAAAAATTAATTGTTTCATGAGTGCAGAGATAAAGTGATTACAAAAGGCTTGTGAGGCCCTCAACAGTTGGAGAACCTTCCAGGTGGCAAGGAATGGGCAGGAGGTTTGCAGGTAGGGTCTTTCTTTTATCAAGAGCAAAGCCTCAGGGGGGTAGACCAATTTGGCTGGAGTAAAGGGTTCAGGTGAGAGAGAAGCAGACATAGCCAGTCTGTGAAGAAGCCAGAATTCTATACCAAGACCTGGGATTTGGTCCTCCTCTAGAATCCTCGAAGCCATTCATGATCAAACCCCAGCAAGATCAATCACATGGCCAAAGGTCACAGATGACCAAACATCAGAGAGTCACCGTTCATTTTGCTTCCCAAGATCCCTCTAGGGATGACCTTGACTTTTAGAGGGTATATTCCTGCTTTTGGATTTCACAGATGAGGCAAAGAAGGGCTAGGTG